CTATTTACTTACGGCATATTAACAAATACTAATGGTTGTGTAATAGAAAAAAGATGTAGATGAGAGCTTACATCAATAAAAGACATGCATAACACTTGTGTCTCACTGCATTTAGATTGAAGTTGTTTAAAGGGTTTCTGCGCAGTTGGCTATTGGCTTCGGCCCCTCGTACGTCTCCCAAATGTCCCTGTGGTACCGTGATTGGTAAAAACATACATAATAGTAATAATATAGTCATTATTTTGGAATTGTTTACTCCACATCTTACAACATTAAGAACAAAAACAGGACATGCTTATTCTTTAATTAAAATGGAACGTTGCCTCGATGGCCGAGTGGTCGCATGTGCGACTACCGGGCAAGGGGTCTCGGGTTCTATTCCCGGGTCGGGCAAAGTATTACTGTTTTTTTTTAAATCTCAGTAGTAGCACGGAGTCTGGAAATGTGTCAGGTATATGGCAATAGGCTAACCCCCTATTACATGGCGTCGGGGATCGCGGGACGATCTCCGGCCACCGTAAGCGCGGGCCTGCGGACGGCGAGCATGGGTGGCTCCCCGTCCGACCAGAAACAGACCCGAGCGTACGGCGCGTCGCGTTCCGCGCGCGCCTCAAAGAGCCATCAGACCACCACAGAGTGGGGCCCAATAGGGCCGATGCCGATTCGGAGTCGCGGAGAACCTAACGGGTAACCGGGGCTCCGGCTCGACGTGCAGGAGAAGGAACGGGGTGGTTTTTAGTCAGTAAGAGTCTGACACTCCCTCCCGCCTCACCCAGGCGGGAGCAGTCATTCGATGATTTTCCCCCCTTAAAAAAAAAAAAAAAACCCCCTATTACATGGGACTCATAACATAAATAGTGAAAAGTGGGTGTGGGGTGGGCCCTTCGGGGATAAAAGGCGTGATGTTATGTTATGGGACGCTGCAAGGAGTTTTCTGATGGCAGACTAGAATATATTTTGTAACTACGCCTCCTCTTTCCATGGGTGTTAGAAAACCGACTAAGTGACTTCACATTTGGACAGCAACGCTCTTGATCAGCCTGGACCTATAAAACTGCGATGTGCAATCCGTCTGCCAACTATGGAGACGATTGCAACTGGTCATAATATTTGGATGAGACTCATTTACTACCAGGTGATCTGAATGTTCATTGGCCTCGTATCCCATCAAACTCCGTTGAGGGCGCTGTGCCTTGCTTATATTATTATATGTTATAAAGACTACTAATTCACACCAATAATGACGAATGTGTACTGAACAGTCATTTAACACGGTATCAAGGTAAATGTGTTTCATTGAATGCCAAAAATGTCGTATAAGCTGCTACAAATGGGCTATCTAGAGAGCTATTATGTCTCACTGTAGCCCTACACTGCAGAATTGTGTAATTTATTGCACCTGTATGGAAGGTAGCCAAGGAAATTATTAGTTTTCCAGCAGTATTTTGTGTTTTGTAGTTTAAATTTTGAATAATATTGAATTGTAATTAATGTAGTAAGTAAGTAAAAAAAGGGAGTAAAAAAAGATAATAGATGTTGTTAGATATGTACTCAAACTCATCATTTGTATTTTTGTACACAAACTGCGACTTGGGGCAAATAATATGTTATTATTGAACTTTAACACATTAGTTAATTATGAGATGGTACGGAGTTCACCCATCGTCGCCTGGTAAGCTAGTACAAAATAAAAACAAATGACACGTCAATACCGTCAGACCAAAAATGACAAGCGTAGAAATATATCATGTTCTCTTTCTCAATCCAAATTATGGCCGCCTCTAGAACATACAAAAAAAACAAATGACACGTCAATGACGTCAGACACAAAATGACAAGGGCAGAAATATATTGTGTTCTCTTTTTAAATCCAAATTATTGCCGCCTTTTTAATAATGAGAAATAAAAACAAATGACACGTCAGTGACGTCAGACCAAAAATGACAAGGGCAGAATGTTCTCTTTCTAAATTCACATTATTGTTGCCTTTTGTTTAATGTAAATTATCTTGTGTTTCAAAAAAATGCGTTTTCGCAATACCACACATGTCCAACTCCTTTGGGTTATTAGTGACATCACAGTCAATGTAGCGTTGTTTTAGCACTTCAATATTTTTTTTGTGACTGTAGGACATCATAAAACACAATCATAATTTAAAATTAAGTACCTAATTATCGAAATGCTTAAAATTGGAGACTTTTTATTGTAGTGTTTATTAGACAGATAATTTCGATGAAATTTAAAAAAGTGATGCTCTTAAGAACCAAAAATATGGCATTGTTATTGAGATGTTTATAGAAAAATCCCAAAAAATACAAAAAAACGATTATTGTGAACGAATAGAGTTTCGAATACAAGCTAGTATTAATATAAACACCCTAAAAGACATACTACAAATTCCGTTTTGAATACTAATTTCAAATAGATGCCTTGAAAATAGGTCAAGGGAAATTTCAATACTGGCAAGTTTCAGTTTGAGTATTTCTGAAGCGAAATATAAAGGCTTAAAAGACATTCATAGAAAATACGTAGGTATTGAAACTTCTACCGTTCTAGTCGAACTCTCTCTTCCTTTGGACGACCATTTGAGAATGTTTTACTTTTTTCGTTACTCGGTTGTCTCATGGTACTATTAATTCAACAGGTTTTAAATACATAAACAATGAATTTCGTTACAGTTTATGATTTAATAGCCTTTCAAAATTATTATTCTTATCCTTTCTGGGATCACTGTCAAGCTTCTGTTGTCTGTATTGTGTGGATTAGGGCTCACTTCTGTCTTATTTTAAATTACGAGTTTTGGGCGGTAAAAATTCATGGTCAGTGAAAATTCATGCATATTAGGGACGACGAAAAAGAGGGTGTTGTATGTCCTATCAGTACAATGTGACTTTCAATAGTTGAATTGGTATCTTGGAAATATTTTTCTAAGATATATGGAATTGAATGTTTTACAGGAAGCATTCTGCGGCGGCACCCTCGTCTCACTCCGTTGGGTTGTGACGGCGGCACATTGCGTGCGCAAACGCTTGTACGTGCGGTTGGGCGAGCACGACCTGCTACTCAGGAACCGCGGCGAGGTGGAGATGAAGGTCACGGAAGCCGTCATACATCCTCGCTATGACCCTGACACGGTCGTCAACGATGTCGCTATGTTACGGTATGTATGACATATCATAGTTTACGATCTATTGTGTCACTCTTATCATGTGCCGTCAGATGGCTGCGAAGCTTACTATTGTTACAGCGTGAAATATGTCCTTTGATATTTTATTTTAGTAATGTTACACAATAGAGTTTCTTTCTTTTTTCTAAGTTGTATCTATAAGTTTCAATTTTACAATTCAATAACAAACCTACATCGAAGTAATCAGTTACTTAACTCAGCAAAGTTCAAGCTATCCCCAAGGCAAATAAACTTTGCAATCATCATAAAAATGTCATGAAAAGTATTTTGAACCATTAAAACGGATTTAAAATTGATTGACATGTGTGGCGTTGCCCTTTATACGAAACGAGGGATGATTCATATCCTTTAGCCTGACACCTACGCGTGCGTAAATAGGCTTACACAGCGGTTTACGCTAACGTGCAGTGGGCTAATAATATCGAGGTCTTTATAATCGAATATATATCTGCGATGTTATACATTAACCCACCTTTTTCCGATGGGGATATAACATATACGTACTAGTTTTACATCCTGGAGTTCATTTCACGGTTCTACGTCTAGTCATAAAATGTAAAGAGTGCAAAGTTTAGAAATTATTTCCTAAATTCTATTTTATTTATGGATGGAACTTCTTTGACTTTTTGCAGCTGATCTTACATAATATGTAAGTACATTGTCAGATTACTTTAATATAAGTAAATTGAATAGCGTGTTCATTCCCGTTTAACGACGAAATTGATAAGATTATAGTGAGCAGCATTACAATATCGCCTTCCGTCTGAACTTCAAGGCTATCGCATAATATTTTTTCCCTAGAGCCTCTCCGCTTTAATGGGAAGTTATCAATTTTATGACGGACCGTGCTGGAACATCAACCCTAAGCTTTAGAATTTGAGTAATATTTATTTACACCATTTTATAATGTCCCTTTTTACGAAAATATGAAGTAAGAGTTTCGTACAATTATATTCACTGTGAGAAAAATGGTAGTGGTAACATATTGTTACCAAAAAGTGTAGCGTGTACTAACAAACTATATAGCAGACATAGATTTTAGTATGTAGAATCTATTAATAACCTCTGTGCATGTGAAAGTACCTACCTATGTTTGCTCTAAAAATATTGGAATTTATTCACGTTCAGACAAAGTAAGTTTAACTTAAAACTGCTCAGTCCAGGATATATTTCAGGTGGTTTATAAATGAAAGGTTACCGTATAAGGAAGTTGCTGAATAAGTCCTTTGGAGAAGAAAATATAACGTATAGGTATATTATTATAAAATTATTCCAAAGCATTATTTTACTATAAATAATAACAGCTCTTATGTAAATCCATCGTTTCTGCAATTAGTTAATTATCCGATCATTTACAGACGTGCAATTCAATTCTCGTTTTTTTTAATAATTATACATTTCTGACACTTCCTTTTTAATTAGATATTCATATCTTTTGTTAATTAGTAATCTTTTTTTAGTCTGGTGATGACGAAGTTTAGTAAGTAACAATAATATAAAGTAAATAATATTATTATTTATTGAATCTTTGCGTCAACATTTAGGGTCCTATTTCGATCAGAAGCATATAAAAATACATTTAAATAAGTTCGTCTATCAGTACAGATGCTGGTCGTATCCTTTTTATGACAGCTTGGGGGTTTAGGTATTATTCAGTTCAGTCCGGGTCCAAAACATCGTGAATAAATATTCCATTTACCATACGTTCCAAATGTGTATAAAAGCCATCAAAGCTCTTTTCAATATTTGTACCTTATGTTTCCGTCCGACCCTATCAAATGTAGTGGAAATATTTTCACAGTAAATTTTAGATGCAATATGCGGGGAATATTTTGTATTTTATACTGCATCGTTATTTAAATTACTATAACACAACATAACATCACGCCTTTTAACCCTGAAGGGGTAGGCAGAGGTGTACATTATGCCACTGTACGTAACACCAATTTATCACTATTTATGTTATGAGTCCCATGTAATAGGAGGTGAGCCTATTGCCATATACCGGGCACAATTCCAGACTCCGTGCTACTACTGAGAATTTTTAAAAAACCCAGTACCTAATACTTTGCCCGACCCGGGAATCGAACCCGAGACCTCTTGCCCGGCAGTCCCACTTTGACGCAGGCAGTCAGTTAAATTATTATTGAAATGTTATTTTTATGAGTAAAGGCATTCCTATTGTAGATATTGCACTGATAAATTTGGTATTTAGGTGTTAACATTTTGTATATTTACTTTACTGTAATTGTCTTAGTTCTAATAATTTATGAGACGAGTGGAAAGAGTGTTGGGAGGTCTTTGACCTGCAGTGGGTCGACCATGGGTAATAAAAAATATATTAGTAGTGGGTAATAGGTAAGGGTAAATTCTATATTGCAGCCAACTATTTAATGTAAGTTAAGTATTTAATGCTTTCAAGACTGACGAGTATTCTGGATGCCTACGTAAAGACCGACGTACCTATACCTATATTCGTCTGTATGTTTAGCCCATATAAATGAAATGCTCTTAAAATAAAAGAATTCAGACATACCTAGTTCAAAAGTTCAGGAATAAATAAAAGATTGAGCCGCATGGTAAAATGCAACTGTTTTATTTGATTGCGACCTCCCACTCATTCAAGAGCACACACTTAATTGCAGTGCGGAAAATCGTGGTCGACTGGACACTTGACCGACTTTTTTAATACCTTTTGTTACTGAATAGAAAGTACAGGAACGACTTTACTATTAGGAAAAATGAACTTTTAAGTACAATCTAATACTCAAACATTGAAACTTTATTATAATTCTTATAAATAAAAATAAATAAAATAAATTTATTTCAGACATACTGGGTCCATACATTTACAGTTTAATATTATGAAATATATATAATTCTTAATTAATTTAATTTAATTTATTACATTATAACACCGCACTATCAATCATTGTTATTTTTTTATATTGTCAATTTAATTAATGTCAATTTAGGTAAAGAAATATCATAACATTTTCTTTTTACAACAATAGAATTAACTTAAGTATTTGCCTCCCTTTGAGGCACCGGCCACGCACACTTGAGTTTGAACCCAGTGCCTCATAAGGGGGCTATCCAGTTTTTGGCTGAGCACGCTCAAGATGGTGTTGGCGCTCCCACGCGTACGGAACATCAGCGAGGCAATGCGGCGCCGCAGCACCGCGTGAAAGGCGTCAGTGCGCGCGTGCGCAAACATCGCAGACGCACTACAGCAGCGCGGTAGCCCCACCAGCACCCTGAACGCGTTATTATATTGTACACGGAGAGCGTTGATGGCCCGCTGCGTGTATCTGACCCACAGATTGCAGGTGTAGAGAGTTTGGCAGAATGCTTTAAACAACGTGATCTTTACCCCAAGACTACACCCCGCAAATCTGCGTGCCAACATATTACAGCGGACCGCCATCGCCCTCCTCTCTCTTTCTATGTCCCTATCGTCTTTTAAATCCTCGGTTACCACATGGCCGAGGTATTTAAATTCCTTCACTCTTTGAAGAGTGACAGCGTTAAGCAGTACAGGTGCCACATCCCCCAGTTTACGACCCCTGGCCTGAAATACCATGAGCTCGCTTTTCTGCTCATTGTATAGGAGACCGTGCACTCTCGCATACTTCTCACATACGCCTATCAGCTTTCTGAGCGCGGCTACTGATGGGCTGAGCTTATGAACAACTCGCTCTTCAAACTTCCTACCCGAGTGGTGGTTACAACTCTTTGCGCGGGAATCTTTACTAACCTGTCACATTTGACAGATGACAGAGTCAACGTGACAGCTAGTATTCCCGATAACACAGATTAAATTAATTTAGTTGATTTTCTTTGTCTAACAGTAGGTACATAATAGTGTTTGTCACTTATATATACATAAACTGCTAAATAGATTTTGATGTGATTTTGCATCAAGTTTGATTTATATGAGAAATAACGTATGCATTGAGTGAAAGATTATCTAAACCATATCTGAGTTGGAGAATAAGAAGTTGAAGTAAGAAAAGCTCATTACCTCCTACCCATAACATAATAATAATATAGGTACTGTATGTCGTAAATAATAATATTTCCTTCGTATTTCTGAAGTTCAGCGCTCCACAGTATATTATTGGCAATATTTTTGAATTGGCAAAGTAACGCATACATTTATAACCGTGAAACGAAATTGTGGAATCATAAATCGAATAAAATTTCCATAATTTTGTAATGAAAGAATATTACAATAATAACGGCGTATCTCTAATTCCACGAAGTTTGTGTTTAACTTTGTAAAATATACGCATCATTACTATATTTCTGATTTGTCTGACATTCAGTTTATCGTTATGTTTGTGTTTGTTCAAATATGTAATTACAAGCAAAATAAACATGTTTACATTGACATCGACGCTTCTACTCACGGTGCAAATCAAAATAATTAATTTCAAGTTTATTTAGTAATGATGCGAGATATTTGACAAATGTGATTTTTGTAATCCGCCTATATAATATAATATAATATTAATTTGCTTGATTGTCTTTGAAGTACAACTCTATATACTTCAGTTTACATATAGGCAAGGTTGGCAGATATCTAAGGACAAATTGTACAAGGTAATACTTATAAAAATACTTTCGAGTTTTAGGGTGCATCCACACGTGCGAGCAACGCGCGAACCACGTGAGCTGCGTGCTTTTAAAATTATCATTTATACGAACCTTGTATGCGTTGAGCACCAAACCATTGCTGTGACTGCACGCCCGCAGTTCGCTAGCGGCTCGCGATATGTGGACGCAACCTAATGTCTAAACAGAAATCATCGTCACATTAGCCACAAGATGTCCACTGCTAGCGACTAGATCGATCGGTTGAAACCGACCTGCATCCAGCGATTTCTTGCGACCTTTTTTGGGTCATCCGTCTATCTTGTGGATTAAAAATAACCATTGCTGTTTTTAATTGACAGATTGCCGGAGTCTGCTCGGCCGGACTTAGGCCATGGCGTGGCATGTTTGCCGGCACCCTATCAACCATTACCACCCCATACCTCCTGTGTTATTTTAGGATGGGGTAAGAAGAGACCCACTGATGTCCATGGGACCAGAGTATTACATGAAGCACAGGTATGTAACTGGTAAATTTCACTATACCAACATAATGGTTAGGTTCAAAATGTTATGAAGTAAATCGGACTGATGTAGGTGCAGTCTCGGGTTAGGTTGTCGTTGCTAAAGCAAAGTAGTCAAAGTAGTAATAAAATACCAACCAAAACCAACTTGATAAAGGCATAATAGAATGGCCCTAATCATTCTTGAAAAGGATAAGATCCCAATTTGTAAGTAGTGATTATGACCCTTGAAACAAATACTTGTTTCGTAAAAGAAAATAGAGTATAATACATTTTATTTTGTCTCAGATACCCTACAGCGGTACACGTTGTAAGTCAACGGTATGTACATACATACTTATATATTCTGAATTTCATTATGTGTATTATAGTAGGGTATTTACTCTACTTATATGTACAACGAGAACTAATAGGCGTATTTGATCATAACCATAACATTGAACCTCACTTTCAGTTTGACTATGAGATATAAAAAAAAATACTTATTAAGTGATCGCGGAGACTAGTCCTAAATCTGTGAATTACCTAAACTATGTATAAAGAAACTTCACAATAGTCCAAAGAAATACGCAAAATTGAACCTTAAGACTTACTAAGTAATGCAAAGCGTGGTAGGCGTAGTTTCAGTCAGGTCTATAGTTAACGAGTAATGAATTGCGAACTTCACAATTGACTCTTGCAAGTTGAACGTGATGATAAGGAGTAAATTTTAACGCAGCGTACTAGACGAAGTTTGATCCACACGAGGCGAATAAAGACTTTGTAAACTCATGAAGCTTGAGATACGTGTTTGAGTTACACTGAGAATATTTTACTAACTGTTCAAACAGTTTAGTTGCTTGTCGTTTTGAAGCTTGGAATTATAGTGATAAATTTTTTGCCGTAAGTTTTAAAGAGTTCGAGGAGTTTTAATGTGTTTTTGATGTTTGTTTTTAGAGAGATGTCGATGATTGAGTGGTTGTAAGACCGATTTCGTAGCACGAAGTTCATGCTTCGATCATAGACGCCGAAAACGTATTGTACCTAAGTAAGGTTCTTGACTTCGTTTGTAGCCAGACAAGGACAGATCCGGCAAATATGTGCGAATTTAGATCTAGAAAATGTCACAGAATATGTAGCAAAAACTGTATGGAAATTGAAGACTTTGCTGAATCCGCAATTTCGTAAAAGCAACAGCTTACGAAAACTGATTTGTCTTTGAAAGATTTATAGATACGCAAATTCTGTTAACGGAAATAAGTTCTAACAAATAATGTAACTTCTATAGTTCTGTAGGTTTATTATATCGTTTCGAACCTTTTCCTTACGATAAGGCTAAGTCAAGGCTTTTATTGGTTTCTAGGGGCCCATAGAGTTTTTGTCGGGATAAACTCGTAAACCAGTAAAAGTTGTATATTTCTATGTGAAAATTCTCGTGTGTAATGTTAGGTAGAAGTAACTGAATTCTTCTAGTATGTGACAAAATCTTTCCGTAAGTTTTTATCTGATGTTAACAGTAGCATCTTTTTCCATTACAGTCTGTGTCACTAGTCGCTATTGAAAATTCTTTTATTCGCTAAATCTATGATATACTAAAGCCAAATATAGAACTTAATTCGAAAGCTACGTGCCTATTAATTTACGTCGTTAAGTCTTGATTTACATCTGAACACTTTATATAACGCAATTTGGGTCTATCCTTAGGTACAAATCGTGTGCTTAGATTATAATAGATAGCCTTGAGAACTTAATATTATAATTAATAGTAAGTTGATCTTGAATTAGTTTTAAGATTGAATGATGTTTTCGTAACCACGAGAATAATATCAATTTGTGTATACGGGATATAGAGTGGGCGACACGTTGGGCGACAGCAGTAAAACAATATAATGGTCAAAATGTAATGATGTTTTATTCTGGTACAATGTTCCTATAGGTAATTAAACTAAACAGTCCTATGAATTTATTTTACTTACGTAATCAAGTATTTATTGCATCCATAATGTACTTACATATACAGGTGGTTATAAAATACAATTAGTAACGAATATGAACCCTGTCGGGCACAGCAACATTTAAAATTGGTAGGAGAGAGGAAGGGCGTTTTGTTAGATTAGTTAATATAATGTCAAAATTAATAAAACAAATTGACTATATATTATATAAAAAATTTATTTAGTTTAGTTAGTATTAGGTAACTTATTTGTGTAGTTTATTTAAATTATATTATTCGTAAGTCATAAACAATACTTTTTGACAATTATTTTTGTTCTGTAAGTACCTACTTATCTTAAAACTGTGTTGGATTATTACGCACTAAGATTTTTTTTTGTAACTAAACACCATGAAAATTAAAATCACTTTGTAAATAATCATAGTACATAGGTACACACAGCTAAGAAAAATGATAGTACGAGTATTCTGCAACATATCTTTCTAAGGTATAATTTTAGCATCGTTGCTATATTATTATTTCATTTCTCAGTTTGTCATACGAATATCTACGAAAAGCATTTTTGCAAATTACAGACAGCGGTTTCTATTCATCTGTATTGCAATTTCTTCACTTCATGTGAATAGGATTGTGTGTAGAGTCATACATATCTGTAGATGGTTATTACGTAGATGATATGCAACCACGTATGACACTCGTATTGTTGGTTTCAGTCTAAGTTTGAGTAATGAATGTGAATTTAGGCATCCAAAGCCAAGAAGTAAAACGAAGTATTGGGAACGTTTAATATCATTGATTGTTTATATATTGCTTTAACTAAGAAAGGTCACTCTCAAATTATATTATGTATCTAAGGCGATGACTAGATCGTTTTAACAAATCTTTAAAAGGATTTTGTTATCAATTTGTTTATCAGGTTACTAAAACAGGAACATGCAACAAAGTTTCAAGGAACGATAAAGTGGTGGGCGGAAATATCGACATGATTATGTAGCGAAAGATTTTATCAATACGAATCTATTAAAAGTAAGAAGCCTGCGGCAAGAAGCAGTTGTTTTGTCGGGGGTAATGCTTGAGTGGGCGGAATTGTGAACCAGCAACGTAGTAATTCGTAAAAATACCTCTTCGGGCATTATTACGAACTTCGCAGGGCCTGCACCTTAGTTCAGGTCGAAATTAATATGGGATTGCGAAATCGCTATCAATACAAGTGGTCCAATTATTTTTTTGTTTATCATTATGTATCTACGAAGTCAAAGTCAAAGTCAAAATCATTTATTTCAATTAGACCAGAAAGGCACTTTTGAACCTCAACGAAATGGTGTTGGAAAGAAAACTTATCTATGGATAGAAAATAATGTATGTAAATTAAGTGGAAAATGTAGTACTGTTTGTACCCATATTTTTCCAGGATATATTTTATATAATATAATATATACTATGTGCTACTCTGCTGTATCATTGCACCGATAAATTAATATCTATAAGTTGTACGTACCCTTTAACATTTATAAGAGAAAGTCTATTGTCCATATTGACGTTGAGATAGGGATGTACGTAATGTCAACGATGACAATCAATCTATATCATTCCTTTATCACGTGTTGCCGGACAATACCCAAATCTCACCATTTCGTAGAAACTTACGGTCCCATCTGGGATCCCGTTTATAAGGGCCCCATTTTATTCGCATTTATCAATGAAACATTGGTAATATCGTTTATATACCCTATACCTGCATAATGTGTTATTATGACTGAATTGTTTAGTTGTCTTTGACAATATTCTATGGAAGTTTTGAATAACAATTTGGTTGTAAATGTAGCCGCTAACTGGACAGAGAGGGCTCGGATTTGAGGAAGAAAGTGTTACAATTGTCGTGTTGAAAACGTTAAAAATAAGCCTCATAAGAAGACGTTGAACTCTTGTCAAATGTATGTAGTAGATAGTATATAATAAATGCATCTTTAGTATTCAAAAGGGTACCTACATATTCTGCGAATATTATGTGTGACTTTCATATAAATATTCATAGTTGTAAGTTTCAAAATGAATACATTAAAATGTTAGGAAAGTATCTAATATTAAATTTTAAATCTAGATGGAAAAGTGAGAACTTAAATTATTCATAGTTATGAGAATAATTAAAATATCCGAACAGCTTAGATAGGTATTTGTATAGCATTAAACCTTGGCGTTATTAATTAAAAACTTTTTATCCTGATCCTCAACTTTTTAATTTAAACTTTATTTAGAAGTTAAAAAAAGATTATAGAAGATATTAGGGTCACCTATTTGCTGATAGGGACGCATACGGTGCTCAAGTTTTGCGTATTTAACGCTGAAATCAAATGGAATTTGGTTTAGCAAAGTTGCGAAGATTTCGTGTTCCTATTTTGAAGAAGGTTTCATCGAATATTTTATTACCATTCAGCGATTTTCAAATAAAAAAAAAACTTGTTGCATGTGAACTATTCCGGTAGCTTAGTTAGTAGTTTTTATTAATAATGACGGCTTCGTGAAATGTAAATACCTGTCTACACATTCTTACACTGATTAATTAACATAGTTCAACATTTAATAAATCATAAAATACATGCAAAGCGAATATTTTTTTTACTATTCGGTGCCGGTCGGGCTGGGCAAAGTAGTACTGAGTTTTTAATAAAAATCTCAGTAGTAGCATGTCTGTCAGTCAGTCTGAAATAGTGCCTGGTATATAGCAACAGGGACAACCTATTACAGGCGACTCAAAACATAAATAGTGAGCATTTATATTGTACAGTGGCATTAAGTGCCATAATATGCACCTCTGCCTACTGGGAATTAAAAAGAGTAACGAATGGAGTTTCTAGCTCGTTCTTCTCCATTGTAGATGTAGATTCACATGTATTCACATTCAATGTAGATTCACATTTTGGAATGAACACAGCTTCACTTAGCTTCACTGACGGACTGACTGACAGACTTATTTATTTTGTATTTGTTGACGTTTTAAAAGTACCAAATTATGGTTTAATTGAAATAAATGCTTTGAGTTTGTTGTATGCGAGAATGTTTTTAAATAGCATTTACCTAAATACTTAACTCTATATTACAAAGCGATTTTCGCTTAATATGTTTGTACCAGGAAATGAGATGTCGATTACATTCACTTACAGAAGAACAGAAGCATTCGACTGAGAAATTGCGATTAGAATATCGAATAATGGTTTCTTGTTTAAAATAGAATGTTTCAACGTCGTTACGAGACGTAGTATAGAAATATATCTATTCATAAATTCCTGTACGTTTATTAATTGTCTTCAATCAGTCGTTGTTTCGCTTCTTTCAGGAAGGTTTTAATTTTTGTGAGAAGACAAGAGTGTAGATTTTTATTAGGGTGCGTCCACTTCTGGTGAAATCCGCGCGAATACGCAGCTCCCGAGCTGCTCTCAAGCCGCTTGCGAGCCGCTCTCAAACCGCCCGCGAACTGCGTGCGTCCATTTAAAATTATTATTCATACGAACTTTGTATGAGTTGAGAACCAAACCATTGCCGTGATTGCACGCGCGTAGTTTTTGCGGGTAGCTCGCGAGTAGTTCGCAATCGGCGCATTTGCGGCACATTCGCCAGATATAACATTTCGGTTATTTACTGACGCATGAATAATACTTGCCACCATAATGAAATTGTGCATCATAAATTTAGGATGTCCTAGATTAAATTGTTCTTTGTCGTCCTGAGTGAAATTAAGTAGTATACCTATCATTTATATAGGAAGCAATGCCGCTACTGAAACATAATAAGACTTCTGAATTTTTCGTATTATATAGGTACCTATAAATATTTCGTTTGTTCAGGTATCAACAATACAACAGGGAGTGTGCCGCCGTTCATACTGGCAGTATGCTATAACAGATGACATGGTGTGCGCTGGGCGAGGACGTAGAGACTCTTGCGCCGGAGACTCAGGAGGACCGCTACTCTGCAGGGATCGTACTATGAGATATTTCTTACAGGTAAAAATACAGACTAAGTATAAAATACATTGCTATACAATAAAAGCGGGAAAGAATATCTAGGAAATTATGAGGACGGTGGGAACACATATATTGTTTTAGATTTTGTGCTATCATTGAACATTTTTAATTTTATTCGAAGGAGATACATTATCACGGACAGGAACGATAAAATATACAACAGCAATATAGTAAATATACAACAACGTTGGTATTTTATATAATACCCTCTTAATAAACATGTGAGATGCAATTTTGGCAGGAAATATTACGTATTATTTCTCACCACAACTTCTTTATATTCTTCAACTTTTATTATTCTTTATGCGACAATCAACAACAATCACCACACTTTTTTTAAATGGAAAATATAAATAAATTTTAAAGAACAAAAGGTCTTAAAAGAGAAATGAACTAAGAACAAAGAAAATTACGAAGTTTTGAATTGGCGGTCGACGCCGAGTAATCATGGCCGACCCTTCCATAATACCGTTAATATACTAAAAGTTGAATTAAATTTTAAATAATGGAAATGAAACGGTAAAATAAATGTTAAAACAGTAAATTGTCTCTATTAAAAATATGATATTAGGTATACTAACAGATACCAAATTAGGTAGTGTTTTATGATAAGTATACAAACGATACTAAATAATACGCATCCTAAAATGCTGAAGTAATTATTTGAGAAAAAATCTAATAAGGATTTCACGCTAATGATTCCAGACTACGCTAATGCTACGTGTACCTATGTGGTTTTCTTAAATGGCTCTGGTTTTATACTAAACAGAATTAACAAAACGTTGTCTTGTAAAATTAATGGCGCTGGAACCTGGTATGCATATTTTACCAGGGCTGTCGAGCTCAGGAAATAACAACCTGAGTGCTTAGTCACACTCAGTTATGACCTAGACATAAAGGTATATTTTATGAATAGAACTCAAAAATTATTAAGGTGAGAACCAAAAGTTTCCATTAATCAGATTCGAAGAATTGTGATATCAATATCGGAGAGATTTGATCTTGGTGCGATATAATAATTTTCTATATCGGTATTTTTTCTATCTCAGCAGCTTACCATCGGATGACCCGTAAGGTTTATTACTGAAATATAACAAAAGGTGGAGACATTGAGGAGACTTGATTACGAGAACGTAGTCTGCTATAAAAACTCGAATTCTCTAATCGAAAACTCCAAATAAAATTCTATAAGTGCTGAGACAAATCCTTTTAAGAATTTTACAATACGCAATTTAATTAGCCAACATCTAATGGAAACATAAAATACAATATTTAACTTAACGTCGACTTTGTTAATTGATGGAAAAAACACGAAAATCAGGAAATATTTAAAAGAATACTGAACATTGAACAAAGAATCGCCCCGTGAAAATCCTCGAAAAGGTGTTCGAATATTATTTTAGGAGGATTTCCAAAGGCTTCCATTTACCTTTTAACGCAACAGACCAAGAAAGAATCAATAATAGTGATCAAGATGTTAACATGTTTTTGTCAGATAAAATATTGTTACAAAATCTTTAGAAATGGTTACAGAAAAAAAACGTAGAACTTACTGAATTACTACTGAGGTTCTATAGTATACCTACACTGCAACAACAAAACATGTTATTGTTTCTTAAGATATTTAAACTACATCTCGTTTAAGTCAAACTGAAGTTAATTCTAATATTAACATTAAAATTCAAAGTTAAATGCTGTATTGTATCAAAAATACTAAAATCTATAAAAGTTTAATTAAACTAATTCAAAATCGCGGGTTGGTCCCGTGAATATTCTAAACTCAACTAGTTTCGAACCACAGAGGGATTCTTCCTCATCTTATTTTCTTCCATTATTATTTGTTTACTAAGTTCAAATATATAACAGAAACCGTATTACATATAATAACAAATATGTATGAAATATATATTTGCAATATAACGCTTACTATCTATAATAGTCCTGTCAGAGATAATGGAAATGTCCCGGTTGGACGTAAGTACCGACCGCTAATGTGATAATGTTTCATGACTGGATCGGGACGAAATTCAACTGTATGGGAATTTAATACTATTATCTGTAATTCTGTAGACATGATAAAATATGAAATATCATTAATAGCCCATATTATACCTGATATTTAATTATGTATTATGTAGTAACTAGCTGTTGCCCGCGAATTCGTTCGCATGGAATTGTGATTCACAGCTCCTCCCCCGTAAATGATAGCATGATAATATTATCTACACACATACTACATATAGGCTACATATTGTAGCCTATGTATTGACCTGACCTGTTAGTAATATTCATGCAAAATTTGAAGTTAATCCATGCAGTACTTTTGGAGATCATCCCGGACATACATACGTACAAACAGACAATAATTCTAAAAAATATATTTTTGGCTTCAGTATCGATTGTCGATCACGTCTCAAGTATTCTTTTTAAAAAAATTTCTACGTACAGTTTTGACTTTTCTACGATTTTGTTATATGTAGGTATAGAATAGATAGATAGATATTAATGTAATGTAATGACGAATACAACTTACGTTAAGTACCTAGTTGTTAGCTGTCATTTAAAACTCTACAGCGTTACTAGAAAACAAATCGAATAAAATAAACAAAAATTACATTCCCTATATTTTAAAAGAACAAAGAAACTTACAGGTACTTGTACACGAATTTGTGTTAGAGCACTTGTTTGAATTTACAAATGAGAATAAAGTTCGTAAATACTAATGTTCAGTCATTTAAGAAATGGGGCAGCCCTACTCTGGGCCAGGTGTTATTCCCGGTTAATAAATAGAAACGTGCGCGTTTATAGCGACTGCTCTGCAATTCGGAATAGGTACAAACACGACCACTTCCGAGACGGTGATTGTGAAAACCCCTTTAGTTTTCTATTTTCCGATACTCTTTCCTTCAATTTTGTCTGTATTATAAACCTTTTTACACATTTATGTTTGAAAATTGTATTGTGTACAATCAACTTAGTTAAAATAGAAATGTTTATTTAATCAACTAGATTAATTATTATGTCTTCGGCTGACTCACGTAACTGTTTGACGAGGAACTCGACTAGTTTCAAGCCATGCTAGGGGCTCATATTCAAGATCCGCATTCCGCGACTCGGCGACGATAGCGCTGCTACTCAGTAGTTAGTTATTAATTTAGTATGTCTCACGAAAGTTTTAATATAAATATAATCAACTAGAAAATAAAGAAAAAAACATTTTTTCTAAAAAGTATAATTTAGTTTGCGCTACAAGACAAGACTAATTACAGGTCAAGGATTTTTAATATAAACTGTAAATTATTTTTAAGTCTTAGGATTAGTTGTGTCGCAAGTTTGAGGCAGAAACAAAAAATCTTAATGCTCTTAATTTCTTCATATTATCATTAGAACGTGGAATATCTTTACTGAATAAAGTTTTACACTTCAGGCCCAGTTCAATGTCCAAAAATTAAAAGGATGCCACTGCTGGACTGTCGAGTGTTGGTTACAACTTTAAACATAACTAATTCTAACTAGGTTAATTGTTGATAATAATGTTACCGGCACAACTTATTTGAGATACTGACTATAAAATATACATGGAGTACCAAATATTTAAAATTTTAGTCCGGTAAAAATGTCAAATTCACCCATGCATGGTATGATTTACAAACCTGTCGTAACTTTTAACAGTGAGTTAAAATGTTTGTGTGCCAATACGTACCGAATATGGGTTTATAAACCTTTTAAAAAGATTCCCTTCAATTATGGTAGAAATGGACGTGACATTCACAATTTGACGAAAAAGCAAGAAGCTTATCGAAGATTAGAGAGGAATAATTTTTTGAGGATCCCGAGTTAAATGGCAGATAGCCGTAAACCTAACAAGGGTAATGTCCTCAGTAATTTGCATTTATGTGGACATATTTTAAATGCTCATAACCGACATTTATGCTTTATGTTCTAGAATGTTGTTTGTCTGCGGTAAAATGGTGCCGATGGAAGACCCTAATTGTGTCTGTTAATGATCATAAACATTGTTGAATGTGTCTATTTTGCGTTATCTTGTTGCCGTGGCCAATGGGAGAGGCACGTGTATTTAGGAATTTAATACATTTTTATTAAGTAACAAACTATTACAGCAACTTAGTATTATGGAGATAAGTCGGTGTTCATTTTCAAATGACTTGAAATGTGGACAACGTAGATAGTCCACATTTTAATTTCAAAAGTACCACCACATGGTGTGACGCTTTGTTTAATGAGAACGTTATTTAGTAGGTACTGAAATAACACAACATTTGGAGAAAAATGCACAAGTACTTACATATAATATGTATAAACGGAATAAACGTTATAGAACTGAGTCGAATTTTATTTGCAATACTGAGTTCAATGGCCCGTTTTGGGATACTAAAGGCAATAAAACCTTTTACCTACTGTACGAATTTTCGTACAAGTTTTTGTAAGTAAGGAATCGAAAATTTTCTCACTTGTTCATTCATATTATTTTCAGTTCAGTAGATATGTGAATTCTTATTCGAGATCGTCTAAATAGGATGGACAATTATTATTAGATTACTTTGGGTCGGATAAGTGAATATGTGCATAAAAAAGGGTAGGTAATTAATTGCTAGTTTTGTTACAATCACTACATAGTATAAAACAAAGTCGCTGTCTGCCGTCTGTCTGTCCCTATGTATGCTTAAATCTTTAAAACTACGCAACGGATTTTGATGCGATTTCTTTTAATAGATGTAGTGATGCTTAAGGAAGGTTTAAAGGTATGATACATACGTAATATGATAGAGAAACATTGATAAATTTATAGGTTTCTAATGTGATGTCGTAAATTACATGAGCATTGCACCCGTGAGAAGCGGGGGCGGGTCGCTAGTTCTATTATAAATAAATAGGCAAAGATATGTTTTAGGTACGTACACACATAACCTTTTATGTAACACATTTAAATGCCCGAATACCGAAAGGTTATTAAATTTCAATATTGGCGCTTTAGTGAAGTTCTATCACCACAGATTCTTTGTAAAATGACAGAGATTTGGTACGACCTTTAAGTACGACTTTTCAGTATATGGGCGTTAATGTTTTGAAAATAAACAATATGATTATCAGGAACAGGGAGAAATAATTAAAAGTTTTAATGTTTGAAGTTAAAGAACTATTTGACTTCAATAAGTTATTAATAGTGCAGTTAGACTGATATGACTTGTACTTAAAACAGTCAATAATTAACATAGAAGTCAAAGAGCAATATTGTATCTAAAGTGGATTCTATGATACAGTGTTGAAAGTACTTAATAGTAATTGCATTAACCACTTTATTACTGGAACTAAGTTAAGCTACTTGTATTCGTATTGCGTCGTATAAAGGTTGATACTTTGTTGTAAACATGGACACTAGTAGGTGTATCAGGTTGTAAACTTGAGGGCCTAGTACTTGTTTTTTTTATGGAAGTGAAGGCAAACGAGCAGACGGATCATCTGATGATGTTTGTTTTAAATTAACGCTTTCAACAAGTTTACAACATGCGGCGTTCTGATTGGCTTGCTCAAATTAACCAACCAATGAGAAGGCTAAATTCTTTAACGTTTCGATCGTGTTAGCACAAAAAATCCTCGCACTAGGCCCTCTGATGAATTTGTATTTTGTATCGCCTTCAGCAATGTCCATTTGCCATTCAAAATGCGTCGAATGTGTTACAACTTTATTTGAAGCAATCACACAGCCTGGTCGATACAAACACGGTACTTTTTTCAAATCTAATTAAAAGTTTTCAAATGAAAACACATTGTTGGGAAATCGTCGTACATTTGTGTTCAACCATGGAAAGTTTTCCCGTTCATGTATTTGAGTGACATTTCAAATATTGCGTACAACAATGTAATTGTGATGTACACGTGTTCAAGTAATAATATGGATGTTTGAGGAATTTTAATTAGTGTACGATATATAGAATTGTAATTTCTCATATTTTATAGTCTTTGTGCTAATTTTGTTGTTAATGGATGACGTGTGAGTGACTTTAAGGCACAATTTTTAACTCCACAATGTTACTAAGAAAATCATAATCGAAAGTACCAATGTGTTCTGCAAACTAATTTGTATTTCCATCAAACAAATTGTTTGTGTAAGGGTATTCTATTTTGAACACTATACCTACATTAAATGGACCATAATTTTCATTGACAGGGTATCACGAGTTTCGGCGATGGTTGCGGTAAACGGGGCAAGTACGGAATTTACACGCGGACCGCAGGCTACGTGTCATGGATGCGTGACGTCATGAACAAGAAGTATTTCGACTGAAACCGCAAAAGGTCTCAAACCCCTTTTGGCAGAGTTGTGGTTACCTAAACCTATTTGTTATAATTACGCTCTTCCCAAATTGTTTTCTTTTTATTTTATAACTGATGTGATGTAAAAACTCGTACGTACTTATAGCATTTCCTTCCAATTCCAAAATATAAGTGATCCCTGATTTTCCAAATAAAAAACTTGCGTAAAATATCTGACCTCACCAACTTTACGAACGCCAAGAAATGAGAAGCGACATTTACCGACCAATTTTATAACAAAGTTTTACCATACCATACCACACATAATATTAATTTATATAGACTTTATCATTCAACAGAATATATACTATTTAAGACGGAAAATTTCTTTCCAACCAAAGTCTAACTGATTTATACATACCTATAATATCTATATCTAATTTTCACTTATGACCTCATTTGAAATAAACTAAGTTCAAGGTTACGTTCATAACTTTACCTAAAAGGTCAATTTATAGCTTGCTGTAATACCTAATATTATTGACGATGGATACTTACCTAGTAATATTTTGAAAGCGAACGTATCTTGCTAATGTTACTTTATCAAATTTGGGTACAAGACTATTTGTTTTTATGACTTTATATTAATATTACATTTTATTTATGTATAACATTTTGAAATATAATTTTATGTGCTTTAGTTTATGTCCGATAGATTTGTCAGATTACTTGATGATGAACATTTTTACGAACATTGATTGATGATATGAGACACCGTCCTAGTAAGAGGTTGCAAATGACCATAATCTGAGGGCTTAGTACCTACGAGTTCGTTTTACGTTTAAAGAAATCAAAACGTTACTCAGTTTAGCTCTCTGATTGGTTGATTCATTGGAGCAGGCCAATCAGAGCGCCGAACGCTGTGACGTTTAAATTTTGTTAAACGGAACAAACTCATACTGAACCCTCAGATGGTTATTATTCGCAGCCTCTTACAAAGATGATGTCTAATACATATCATATGCTTTGCGACGTTGCGGCGTTCGGCGCTCTGCAGCTGTAGCCAAATGCCATTTAGCACTTGTCTGCATATAGAATAAAAAACCAAATAATGGGATTGACGTAAATTTTGACACTTGTCAGTGTCATCCCCCATTTAATATTCTACTCTCTCTGTAGACAAGCACTAAAGTGGCATTTGGCTAAAAGCATTGATCGACCTGCTCACAGGAATCAACCAATCACCATTTTCGACATCATTTTGCCAATGATTTCCATATTCTGTTAATCTTACACTAAACTATATCATTTATACTAACCAAAGTTAATAAACTACAGTTTAAAGCACTGTTTAAACATAAGCAACACCTCAAGAAACTTTGCAAATGAAACTAGAACTACAATTAACTATTCATAATAAGACTATTCAAATACAAATTAATGTGAACTTTATTCACGATTTTATTAGAATTTTAAATCATGTTGTGTGTAGCACTTTGCAAAGTTTTTTTTTTTGTTTTCAATATTGTTTTTTTTTATTTAATATAAGTAAACGTAAGTGATAATGATAAATAAAGTCTCTCTAAGTTTTGTATGGAGTTGTTTAAATTGCTTACCTACCTCGAAAGAAAGGTCAATGAACTTTTCAGTAAGATGACATTGACTGAGACCAGAACAAACATTCTTTTGATATATAAAGATAAAACAAGGCTCAATGTCTGTATATTTTTGTCCAGTCACCAAAGTATCCAGATATTCTATGAATAAAATTACCAATCCAAGTTGTTGTTAGATTTAATTCAGATTGCGCTGGGCATTCGATGTATATTTTTGTTTTAATAATTTTCATGACTGACAAAATTTTGTAGGTACTTTTCTCAAGAATTTTGTGATATCCTGCTAATAAAAACATCATATGGTTTTTTGTAAAACATGTATAACAATAAAAGTACTTATCACAAAACAAATAGGAGTATAAGTAAAATATACAATTAAAAAAGACAGTATAACAACAGATTATACAAAAAAAGTATCAATACAATTACAAAAAATACAAAAATATCAATAACAAAATAAAAATACAAAAAATATTTACATAAAAATATAAATTATAATATATCGAGCGTGAAAGCGTCGACGTCATCATTCTCTCGAGCTACATCGAGCACCCATGGGACCAGGCGCCAGATACCTGTGTATTGTGCACTCTGGTCGCCCCAAGGCCGTCTTTCTTCCTGTAAAAATAATAATCTATTTTAGTGAGCCTCACACTTTATCTTTAAAACACAGTAGTTTAAGCTTAAAAATATATCCGTTCGTCACTAAATAAGCGATTTAGGAAGTTATCTGAATTAACCATTCATTCACAGATTTAAGTACAGACGAATTGTCAAATATTCCACTAATAACCGTTCTACTATTCTACTAATAACAGTTAAATGTCAATTTTATTCTAGTTAAGAATTTAATTTAGAATAAAATTATAAATAGTTTGTAATATAAAATAAAACCTATAAGATCCTAATGTCATTGTAGCTCACAACGTGTGCCCGGAGCTTTAAGATTTCCGCTACTCATGCATGTGAGTGTGGGTTCGAAACCCAATCGTGAGGAAACCTGGGCTTATAATTTCTAATTATATATTTGAAATCACCAACCCGCATTGAGTAAACGTGGTGATTAATGTTCAAACCGTCTCCGTGCGAGAAGAGGCCTTTAGTCAGCAGCGAACAGTTATAGGCTGTTGGTGATGATGATAAGATACTAAGTACCTACGTAAGATATTTTTAGAGTTGATACCTCTTTTTAACGAAGACAGTCTTCCAATAACTTCTCCCGCCTAGGGTGAGGCCAGAGAAAGTGTCAGACTGTCTAACTAAAAACCACCCCGTTCCTATTCTTGTTTACAACCGGAGCCCCGGTAACCAGTTAGGTCGTCCGCAGAGATTTGATACCCCTGAACTCTTCTTTAACCAACCAAATAAAAGAGTTAAAACACATATTTCATTATGTAACTAATTTTTTCTCGCAACATAAATAATATCATTAAATAAAATTAGAATATCAGTGAAATTAAAACGGTGCGCAATATAATATCATAGCCAGCAATTCCCAGGTGAGAATTAAATGAGAAAAATATTTTCATCTGTATAATTAAAAATAGCTTCGAGACCGTGCCGTATACGTGGATAATTATATAAAACTTTATGAGACATTTTCAGTAAAATTAAATTATTCTAGCAAGCTAATGTTAGTTGGTCAGACCTAAAATCATTGTGTGTTTTGTGTTTCAGGTCATTAACATTATGATTGTAAGGAGTACCTAAGTCCACTGCGGGAAATAAGCTTCTCCAAATAATTGAGGAAAATTACGTAATTTTCGTCAATTCCCCAGACTAATATATTGAGCAAATACCTAAATCTGTGTCCTATAAAATGAACAGCAAGATTGTTAGGTCGTGACAGTGATTAGCTTGCGAAACTTAGCTGTGGTCGGGCGGTTGCCGGTTCCCGGTCGTTCGCATAGCTAGTTGGCTACGCTGCCCGGTTGTCTAGGAAGTGTATTGTATTGCACTTCCGCAGAGCTTTGCACTATTGCCAAGTACTACACGGTTAGTTAGCATAATAACGGTACACTATGATTATAACATTTAAATTGACTGTAATAACCGTAGTTAGGGCTCAAAAACAAATCAAAACTGCGAGGCGACGTCGCAACGCAAAAATATGCGAGCTCCCTCTACGCACTTTTTTTTTAAGGGGGGAAAATCATCGAATTACTGCTCTCGCCTGGGTGAGGCGGGAGGGAGTGTCAGGCTCTTACTGACTAAAAACTACCCCGTTCCTTCTCCTGCACGTCCAGCCGGAGCCCCGGTTACCCGTTAGGTTCTCCGCGACATCGCTAGAACTTGCGAATTGATTCGCATCGCGCATCATCTTTTTCCTGTATATTCTAAGCAATAACAAAAGTGCACATTTCTTTTTAAGAATAATGTTACGATCTTGTTTTCAATTTATCATAACAT